ATAGGAGTGTCGATTATAGGGAATATTATGATGATGATGGCCGGGGTGTTGGGTGGAGTGTTGTGGTGGGTCGGCGGGGAGCTGAACATTCACAAAAGTATTGACAATTTATGCAAATCCCACCGGGTCGTGTGACCAGCAGAGCGCGTTTGGGAAATTCGGTCTCAGGGCTGCTAGCCGTGATTATTGGGCAAATACAGCTACCTACAGCGAGGGGGCACATTAGCAGCAATTCTTTGATGAAAATTGAAGTTTTCCAAGGTTGTCTAGCCGAGAATTTTGTGGAAATTAGCTTCTTGGACTAGGGTAGGCTAGCAGAGACTCTTTAGGGGGCCTAACCCAGGAAGGCACTAGTTTCAAGGTGTCGTGACAGCAGTGATCTCACCTGTAGCCTCGTCAGCACGACCGGTGAAGGATCAAATCCCGGGAAATAACCAGGAGGCGGGCGCGAGGCGTCAAACTAAATTGAGATTTAAGGGCAAGCTGGCAGAGATTCTGGAGGAATCGGAGGGTAGGCTAGCGGAGTTTCTTGGGGGAATTTGGGGCAGGCTAGCGTTTTTTTTTTTGGAAAAAGAAGATGGTCGTGAGTTGTGGTTGTTCTTTTCTCTAGCTTCAAAAATCCGATCAAGATCTAGGCAAGCTAGCAGAGAATGATTCGGAAAAAGCGCGTTTTCTGTGAATTCCGAGAGATTCAAGGCTAGCGCAAGCTAGCAGGGATTCTTTGAGGAGCTAGAAGGATGCTTGCAGAGAAATTTTGCGAAAATGCACATTTTATGCAGATTTTTCGAGATCCAAGGCGAGGGTATACTAGCAGAGATGCTTTGCGAAATGTCTGAGACTCAACACTCACAGCTGGCAACTCGGTCGGTCTCTCCATCGTGCTCCTCCCCCTCTTTCTTCAGAGCACATAGAAAAGTGCAGCGGTCTCTGATTCGCGACGGGCTGAAAGATATTGAAGAAGCGGATCCCGGCGGAAAGCCATAAATTAACGATTTCCATGCCCTGGGGGCGGGAAAGCCAGTGAAACCGAAAAATTGGGCGGAAAACAGCCCGAAGAAGAAGATGAGAATATATTGGCATTGTCTGGGCGTTGAGGCAAAGCATCTCTGCTAGTTGCCACCTAGAAAATCCAGAGCATGCTAGCAGAGATTCTTGGATTTCAACTTGATCGTCCGGCGTTAGATCGATCAGGTTGTCGTCTCCGGATTGTAGGTAGGGGGTTGTCGAGGAGCGGGATGTTTGTAATTGAGAGTATAGAGACGAGAGAGCGAGGGAGAGAGAGAGGGAGAGAGAGGGGGAGAGAGAGAGACGGAGAGGGAGAGAGAGAGAGAGAGAGAGAGAGAGAGAGAGAGAGAGAGAGAGAGACTGAGTCGAAGAACAAACATAAACCATCAACCACTCCCCGAAGTCTCCAGGTGGACCGGGCTGACTCATCTCAGACTTGAATCTGGATCAACTGGTTCGGCTGTTTTTAGAAGCTGAATGAAGCCAGGCTAGCAGAGTTTATTTGAGGAATTGGAGGGGAGCCACTTTCAAGGTGCCCTATTTTTTCGCACGTCACCTGGTTGCCACCTGCCTGGGCAAGAAAATTCGTTTTCAAGGTCGGGCTGATATCCCAATTTATCTATCCCAATTTTTGAGTCGTTATAGGAAATATTAGGATGTGCCCTCATTAAAAAAGCGAGAGATTGTGAGAGAGAGAGAAAAAAATTTGAGCACGTGATGATGCTCATCATCCCGAAAAAATCGGATCAGGTACCCCCGGAAAATCAATATCCGGTAGATTTGAGGCGGAGTGCCAGCCGGGTGGATGGCCTTGGATGGGAATGAGTGAGGGAATGACTGCGCGGAGGAGGAGTGGCCCGGAATCTGATCGTGGATGTGAGGAGCACGAGGTTGGGGAGGAGGAACACAGATTGAGCATGGATCCTTGCACTTTAAGAGAGAGAGCAAGCTAGCAGAGATCATTTGGGAGTCTCTGGCTCTTGCGGGCAAGCTAGCAGCGGTTCTGGTGGACTTTAGGCAAGCTAGCAGAGACCATTTTTCATTGTTTTTCATTCTTGGCTCAGGGCAAACAAGCAAACACCATTTGCGGAATGCCCGCTTCTCGGCTATGCAACACTGCAAAATGCGGCCCCCAAAAAAGTGTGGTGTAGCAAGGAGCGGAATGGAATGCCCAAAAACCCAAGGGGGAGACTGATTCATCGCGGATGCATACAAAGACACCACGGCCAGATGCGAGAAGGGGATGTGGACTGGGGGACTGACGAATTGGGGGCTCTAGAGATTCCTAAAGGCTCTTTGCTAGACTGTCCAGTCGGATAGAGAGAGAGAGAGAGAGAGAGAGAGAGAGAACCTAAAAAAAACTAGGGAACAGGTGTGAAGAAGCCTTATTGGCTCTGTACCGATAGCACGGGGCAATGACAACAGAACGGGGCATTGACAACAGAACGGGGCATTGACAACAGAACGGGGCATTGACAACAGAACGGGGCAATGACAGCAGAACGGGGCAAAGCCAGCAGAACGGGGCAATGGCAGCAGAACGGGGCATAGCCAGCAGAACGGGGCATTGCCAGGTCTCCGCGGCCGGCGGCCAGCAGAACGGGGCATTGGTTTGGCCAGGGGGGCCGGCGGCCAGCAGGACAGGGCATTGCATATTTTCTCAAAAAAACGTATTTTTATGGTCTCTCGCCTATTTTTTCTCTGATTATATTTTTTTGGATTCACAGAAGTCAATCTATTGTCAATCAGGCCGAACGTTTCTAACTAGGAAAGTCCAAAATACCCCGCAACACGGATTGGGCTGAGAATTTGTACATTTATAGATGCGACCACGCTGATAATCGCCTCGAATTCCGAGTCTGCTACAGAGCCTGAAAATTTGAGATATTAAAGTTTTGGTGTCATTTTTGGGACCCCGGAAAAGGGTTTGTCAGGATATCGAACTTTTTTGTCTGTATTTGTCTAGTTATTTGAAGTAGCCTAACTGATAGAGATTTTTTCTGATTTTTTCTGATTGATTGGTATATTTCGTTAATGCACGAAGGCCTATGCGCTATCCTAAGCTGCTTGAATTAGGCTGTTTTCTACCATTTCCATAGTAAATTCGGAGTCCATACCAAGTATAGTCGATTTTTTCTGTAACCTATCATCAGAGAAAAAATAGGCGAGAGACCATCAAAATACGTTTTTTTTTTTGAGAAAATATGCAATGCCCTGTCCTGCTGGCCGCCGGCCCCCCTGGCCAAACCAATGCCCCGTTCTGCTGGCCGCCGGCCGCGGAGACCTGGCAATGCCCCGTTCTGCTGGCAATGCCCCGTTCTGCTGCCATTGCCCCGTTCTGCTGGCTTTGCCCCGTTCTGCTGTCATTGCCCCGTTCTGTTGCCAATGCCCCGTTCTGTTGTCATTGCCCCGTGCTATCGGTACAGAGCCGATTTATTCGACGCAACTGTCAGCTGAGCTGGCCTTGGGATTGGCTTTGTGCCTGAAAAATTGGAGAGACGGGGCAGGGTAGCAGAGATTCTTGAGGAAAACGGTTACAAGACGACAGGCAGGCTAATAGAAACCATTTGGCGCGGTAAATTCTGTAGGCCAGCTAGCAGGGATCATTTAGGAAATTCCTAAGCCTAGGCGCGAAAAAAATTTGAGCACGTGATGATGCTCATCATCCCGAAAAAATCGGATCAGGTACCCCCGGGAAATCAATATCCGGTAGATTTGAGGCGGAGTGCCAGCCGGGTGGATGGCCTTGGATGGGAATGAGTGAGGGAATGACTGCGAGGAGGAGTGGCCCGGAATCTGATCGTGGATGTGAGGAGCACGAGGTTGGGGAGGAGGAACACAGATTGAGCATGGTTCGTTGCACTTTAAGAGAGAGGGCAAGCTAGCAGAGTCCATTTTTCATTGTTTTTCATTCTTGGCTCAGGGCAAACAAGCAAACACCATTTGCGGAAGCCCCCGATTCTATGCAACACTGCAAAATGCGGCCCCAAAAAAGTGTGGTGTAGCAAGGAGCGGAATGGAATGCCCAAAAAGCGAAGGGGGAGACTGATTCATCGCGGATGCATACAAAGACACCACCGCCAGATGCGAGAAGGGGATGTGGACTGGGGGACTGACGAATTGGGGGCTCTAGAGATTCCTAAAGACTCTTTGCTAGACTGCCCAGTCGGATAGAGAGCGAGAGAGAGAGAGAGAGAGAGAGAGAGAGAGAGAGAGAGAAAGAGAAAGAGAGAGAGAACCTAAAAAAAACTAGGGAACAGGTGTGAAGAAGATTTATTCGACGCAACTGTCAGCTGAGCTGGCCTTGGGATTGGCTTTGTGCCTGAAAAATTGGAGAGACGGGGCAGGGTAGCAGAGATTCTTGAGGAAAACGGTTACAAGACGACAGGCAGGCTAATAGAAACCATTTGGCGCGGTAAATTCTGTAGGCCAGCTAGCAGGGATCATTTAGGAAAATTCTTAGATATACCTGGGAAGCTAGCAGATTTTTTTTTTGGAAATTCTGGTAGAAGTGGAAGGCATGCTAGCAGAGGTCTTTGCGAAATGGACCTACATCCAGGGCTATACTGAAGCTTTTCCATACGGGAGAAGCGCTATTCGGCGAGGGTGGCGCGCGAAATTGGTGGTGTCGGGGTGAAGAATTGGGTCCCCTAAAAATATTTGATTTTGGAAGTGGGTTGAGGTATTTTTGCACTACAAGCTACAAATCTGTGCTTCGTTTCATTCTCGGTACCTTTAAGTAATGATGGAGGGGGGTGTTTTGATAGGATTGATGGGTGACCTAGATAGCTGGCAGCCGGCTGACCCATAAGGATCTCACGCTTTCTCTTTAGCCTTGGCTTGGGCTTAGGCTTAGGCTTAGGCGTCGGCTTTGACGTAGGCTTAACTTGGGCTTACAAAAAATTTTTGGCTTTTTCGTTTCCAATTTTTCGATTTTTGACGGCTTTCCAATTTGTGCTAGAATTCTGTAAAAACCGTACAAAAATTCTAGTGCCATGGCTGCTGTAGTCGCTATATGCTTCTTCCTCACCATTCTCCCCAATTCGCGTAAGCTTTTGGTGGCAGAAATGGGTTAGAGCTGCTCTTCAGAAAGCATCGACCTGAACTCTATCACCGCTTCTGACCCAACAACCACACCGAGCAGTACAATTTCTGGTAACAGCCCCTCATCAGTGTTGCTGGACTTAGACGCTGATCTCGAGAAGATCACCTCATTTTGCATGACAAATGCCGATTACGAGAAGTTGTGGGACTACAATTTAAAGTATGGCCTCGCGAGAATCGTCGCCACGGTGTTGATGCCAGTGGCGGCGCAGAGCATAGGTTTGCACTCCGGAAGTTTCGTTGGAATGAAATTTTTCGCTTCAGGTCGTGAAGAGCTGAGAAGAGCTTTAAAAATGCCGCCTCCGCCACCATGGAAAAGCTCTGCGAATCATATTCCTAGTGCCGACGAGCTCGCCAACGCCACCACAATCGAGGCCTATTTCGAGCTGCGCGAACTGGTCAACATAATGATCTCCTCGGGCCAAGATATGTTGTTCGAGCACCAAGTGCCTCCGGCCATTACATTCCTTGAACTCCGCCTCCCCATCGTTCGCACGATTTTTAAGCGCCAATTTGAGAATATTTTCCGTATGAATCAAGCGATTATTGAGAGAAAATTAATTGATGAAATGTGTCATAATTTCGAGGAAACCTATACCAAAATTCATGACGCGCTTTTGACAATGATGTCGCACCAATGGTCGAATTGCCATCCGAAAAAATTATCCGGAAAACAGCTTTGAAGGCTTTGTCAGAGCTCAAATGCCTCAAAGAATCTCTGCTAGCCTGCCTCTCCCTCCTCCCCCCTCCAATTCCTTAAAGAACCTCTGCTAGCCTGCCCTACCTGATAAACAGTTTCAATTAATCTTACTTACATACAACAAAGCTTTTGTTTCACGTTGTCCGTTCGAAAAACAAGTTTTTTTTCGCTTGTCCGTCCCTTTAAGACTTTTCAACCTCGTGGAACCTGACGATAATCCTTTTATTTTCGGCTTTCTGGTCTGCCAAAACCTGGATTCTCGATTTTTGGGCTAAAATCTGTAATTGCCGGGTGGGGTGGGCGCAAAGTGGTCTTCCGGTGCACGCGCCAGGTAATCCGATCCTTTTTTGATTCTCGGGGCCGTTACGAGAACCAACTACAACTGGCTCAAGGAAATTTGTCTCGAGCCTTCAATGGCCCTTTAGAAGCTATTTTAGTTGCGTAATCGGTTGAGCTTTAGCTGCAGCTTGAACGCTCCTTTAAATGCGTTTAACTCGAAACTCAGCTGCCTCTGAATTTGCTTGCGTAATCTTTTTTTATTGACCCTCGCTTCACGACCCATGTCGGGCGGCCTTTCCCACTCGCATGGCAATCTAGCAGTAACCTTTTGAGGCACGAAATTCCCATTTTTAGCGCCAACCGAACGCTCCTTGCCGAACACGCAATTGTAATGGCCCGGCCGAGTCCAGTAGACAACATTATTTAAGGCGCTCCCCTTGAAGTGGGCCTCCGGGCGGACTCGGTGGCCCAGGATATATATATTTGGGCCCTAAGGTGGTCCACTCCCCCTCCCTTCTTCTTCCGCTCGACCAGCCACTTGATGAAAAAACGGCCGCCCGACTGCTTATGAAGGGACACACACAACACACCTACCGCATAAAGTAGCGCTGCGGAATTTACATTACTTTATCTTTACGTCGAAGCGGAATTTCTCCAATATTCTCTGCTAGTTGGCCTCGAGCTCGAAGCGCTTGGCTCTCCTGAAGGCTCTTTTCCCGGAAAAACACCGAATCCTATGCAAAAAAATTTCGGCATTGGAAATTTCGACATTCTGACATTTCGACATTACGAATTCCGAAATGAGGAATTCCGACCAATTCCGAAGAATTTCGACCATTGATCTCGACATTATGATCAAATCTGCTTAGCTGTCCCATTTTCTGCAATAATCCCTGCTAGCTTGCCAGTTCTGACTTCTGAATTTCATTAAGAAGCCCTGCTAGCCTCGCAAAATTTATACGTTCAGCAGGTTGGATGTGCAGGCTGGGCAAGCTAGCAGGGACGCTTAGACCCTCCCCAGTCAATCGGAATGTTCTCGTATTATAATCCGAATTGTGTGACGAGGGTTGTGGTGGTCGGTGCTACGGGCTGTCCATTACGCATTCACCTCATCTCCCCGTATCGGGGGATAGAGACACCAAATATTCAAGTAGAGAGGGGGGACATGCCTTTTTCATTCGTTATTCGCTGTGGCTTTCCGGCTTATTAGTACGTAGAGTATCGAAGGGGTGGAATGAGCAGAGAATCTTTGCGGAATACTGGCGGTTCCTCATGGAATCTCTGCTAGCCTGCCCCTCCAATTCCTCAGAGAATCCCTGCTAGCCTGTCCCTCTAATTCCTCAAAGAATTTCTGCTAGCTGGCCCCTCCATTTCCTCAAAGAATTTTTGCTAGCTTGCCTCCTAATTCTCTTCACCCAGTTTTAGATGTACGCCCAGAATAGGGCCCATTTTTTGCATTACGCGAGTCTTCCTCCGATTTGTCTGCGCAGTCGTGGAGATGCATGTCCCCCCGCTTTTTGGGCCCCTAATGCGTAATTGACGGCCGCGGGGCCCTCTTTTTGCCCTCCAATTCCTCAACGGTCTCTGCTCGCCTGCCCAGTTTGACTCGAAGACGAGGACAATGCCTCGATTCTCATTCTCATCGCTAGCTGTCTAATCTAGAACCCTGGGGGGGTGAGACACAGGAAATTAATTCCCCGGCGTGACCATGGGGCCCTAGTTGTCATCGGGCCCAGGGCCCATTCCGCCACTTTACCCCCTCCTGGCTGTCATCAACAGGACATTGCCAATTACCTCATCCCCCTGCGCACAAAGGGTTTCGGCAAGCGGGCCTAGCTTTTGTTGTTGTTTCCGAAAGGGTTTCTGCTAGCTTGCCAGCATTTTCAAATGGTGTTTGCTATCTTAACGTTCTGCTAGAACCTGAAAAAGCCGTGTCGCTTTCCCTTTATCCAAAATGGCCTGTGCTAGCTGTCATGATTCCCAAATGGTCTTTGCTAGCTTGCCTGGCTACTAGAACTTAAAAGATTCATGTCGCTCCACCTTCAAAAGCCCCAAATGTCCCGTGCTAGCTGTTATGATTCCCAAACAAACTCTGCTAGCTTGCCCCGTCCGAAGTAGGCTGAGGGTAGGCTGGCAAAGATTCTTTGTAGAGTTCGAAATCATGATGTCTGGATCTGGATTGTGGAAACCTCGTGTCGCTCTCCCTTTAAAATTCCAAGGTGGCTTGTGCTAGCTGTCATGCTTCCTGAAGAAACTCTGCTAGCTTGCCTCGTCAGAGGTAAGGTGAGGACAGGCTAGCAGACCTCCTTTGATGAATTGGAGGGCAGGCTAGCAGAGACTCTTTGAGGAAATGGAGGGCAGGCTAGCAGGGATTCTTTGAGGAATTGGAGCACGCAGGCTAGCAGAGGCAAAGGTGTCATCCCCAGAAATTTGCCCTTCAGGCAATTATCCGGTTAGACCCCCCAATATATCCCTTCGGGGTATTTCCCTCCCTCATTACCACGTATTGGCCGCCGTGTGATCCGCCCCGAAAACCGAAACACAAAGGGCCCCAATTTGATTCCACCCGCCCCCCGGCCAGGCGAATTGCCCCCATTTTGCCGGTTTTTTCGTACGGGCCGAAAATTGAAGATTGGTGATGTGGCTTTAGGGTTTTCCGAGGAAACCCTCCCTTTTTCAAAGCTGTCTTGCTATTTTTGGACTCCGCAAGGGTCTTTGCTAGCTTGCCTGTAAAGAAAATAGTGGGTTTGACGTTTTTTTTTACATTTTAAGGGGCGATTGAAGTCCGTTTTCGGGGGCGTAGACGTCTAGTCGATCCGGCTTTGTCTCCTAAATGATCTCTGCTAGCTTGCTTGCAGCGAAAATCGGAAATTTTACGATTTGCAGCGTTTTAAGGGTCATTGAAGTGAGTTTTTAGCGAAATATCTGGATTTTACGATTCTGGAGCGTTTTAAGGGCCATTGAAGACAGATTTTGGTGGATTTGTGTTACCTACGTCGTTTTCCCAGATTTTGCTTTCCTCAAAAATCACTGCCAGCTTGCCCCGTCCGAAATCCGTTTTGTAAACGTCATGCTCGATTCTAGGCCCCGATCATGAGTTATTTTGGTTGTTGAGAGAGATGAGGGTAGTGATTTCAAAAATCCTGCTCCTTCTCTCTCTCTCTCTCGCTCTGTCTCTCTCTCACTCGCTCTCGAGATATTCGGGGCGCTGATCCTAATGAATAGGCGATGAGGGGGAGAAGTGGTAGAAGTGAGAAGTTCGCGGGGCTGAACCTCGGCCTAAAGTCCGAATCGATCCTTTTTCGGTTTTCCCGAATCTTTAGCTATCAATTTTCATATCGTAACTGGTTTTTTGTCTTCTATGGTCCTTTAAATTGACGTTTTCATGGCTTCCTCCCTCAAGCTTGACTGACCCCTTAAAGCGACTTTTGCAGCATCGGTGGCCTGCCCATCAGTCCCAGGGATCGGGATGCCCCGATGCGATTCGGCGGGATTTGGTCGCTGATAATACTGTCGACGCTCTGCTCGATAGGTAAGCGAGCAGAGGGCTTTTAGGAAAATTGTGCATGCTAGCAGGGATATTTGAGGAAATTTGAGCTCCGGAAACCCGGAAAGCGAAAAATGAAGAGCCGGGCAAGCTAGCAAAGATCTTTAAGAAGCTGATGCCGCCAGGGCAGGCTAGCAGAGCGTCTTGAGGAAATTTGAGCTCTAGCGTCACCTGGACCTGACATGAAGGTCAGGCAGGCTAGCAGAGATTCTTTGATAAAATCCGTTTTTCCTGGACGATCTAGCAAAGATGTTTGGGGAATCAGCTAGAAATTACTCGAATCGCCACTAGGGAAGCTAGCAGGGATTCATGAAGAAATCGACGCTCAAGGCATGCTAGCAAAGACCAATTGCGAAAACCAGCGATTCCCCATTTTCAAGGTTCGGCCACCTTCTGCCTCGAGGGCTCCGATTGCCAAGACACCCACATTTGCGGCATTTGCGAGGGCGCCGCCTGCGTCAGGATCTTCAGGTGTGGACCTTGCCTTCAACGGTCCTTTAAAAAGTTTTAGACCCGCCAAGCATACCGTAAAAGAGATCTCATCACTTGCATTGACTTGTCTACCTCACGACAGCCTCGTACACGCCTATAATCCGGATGGGTGCAGGTGAGGCGAGCTAGCGGGGATTCTTTGAGGAAGCGGCTGAGACTGGCTAACTAGCAGAGAGCGTTATGGCAATGAGAAAAATAAAGGCAGCTAGCAGAGATTCTTGAAAACAGCCTCGCTCGAGGGCAAGCTAGAAAAGGTTCTTACGGAATCAGAAGAAAAGGGCCATCTAGCAGAGACCAGTGTGGAAAATGATCGAGGTTAGCTAGCAGAGATTCATTGAAAAAGCGTTTGAGCCTAAGGGCAGGCTAGCAGAGATGCTTGAGGGCTGAGAAAACGCAGCCAACTAGCAAACATCATTTGAAAAAAGCAATTTCGATAAGCCAAGGCAAGCTAGCAAAAGTTTTTGAGGAATCAGACGATCGAAGATTAGCTAGCAAAAAGCCTTGAGGAACGAAAAGTTCAACGTCAGCAAGCAGGGACTCTTGAGGAGAATCCCGGCAAGCAAGTGAACTAGCAGAGACCATTTGAGAAACAGCCCGTTCGGCCAGGGCAGTCTAGCAGAGACAATTTCTTTCTAGACAACCGTTTACGAAACTTATTTTGCCAGTTTCGAAAAAGCTTAATCAATTACGCAGTGAAAATCGGCGCTCTTGACTTCACCGCTCCTTTAGAAAAACGCTACACGGCGATGTGTATTGCCTGTGCTCGCTGGACTACTGTAACTCCTCGAAAAATTTCCAATTTGCCGGATTTGTCATTTTTGTTATCCTGTTAATCTACTTTGCATAATTTAATTTAACTAATTTAAGCATTAAATAAATGAATTCATTTCCGCAAAACATGAAGGTACGGTACGGAAAAAGTACGGTAAGATACCGTAAGCGCGTCAACGGGGGGAAACTCGTGGAATAACGTAATAACAAAAACAACGCAACAGAGAGAGACCATTTGGGGAAATCGGATTTTAGAAAACTATTTTTGTAATTTTGTATTTACAAAAATACAAAATACAACAGGGCCCGCATCACAATATTGAAAAAGGGTGGAGGTTGGAAAGTTGAGGAAAATTGGGTTTTTGTTAAATCCGGGCCTCGCCGAGGTACTTTTCGAGGAGCTGCTGCTTCTTTGACTCGAGCAGCGATTCTTCGATATCCTATAAAAATTGTATTAAATTTAAATAGCAATTAATAACGTTAATTATATAAAATCTATATTAAGTAAAATACCTTGAGGGTGGGGACCATGACGTGTCGAATCTCGACCTTCTTCCCGTCCTCGCCCACCACCTCGGTGATCTTCACCTGCCACTCGCCGTCGGCGTCCTGAAAATGTAAAATTAAACGAGAATTGATTTATAATAATAGTTTTACAAGCTTAAACAAGCTTTAAAATCCATAAAAATCGAATTTTGAATTTTTAAAGCGCGAAACTATGGATATTAGATAGAAAAATAACTTTAAAACTTAAATCACAATAGCAGAAACATTTAACTAGTTTCAGCAAGCCTAGAACATGACCAAAAACCGAATTTCCAAGTTTTTGTACTCCAAAAGGATTATAAAATAGGAAAAACCTTTTCCTGCGTTTTTAATAAAATAAAACGCATTAAAAACCTCATTTTCTACCTTTTGAATAACCATTAAAATAACCCACATCCTCCACTTTATAAATGTCGTCCTCGACCTCGTCGGCCGAGTCGCTGTCTCGCGCGTCCTTGTCCCATTTCACCTTTGACGCGTCCCATTCCTAAATTAATGTTTTAAACATGGAATTTCCAGTTTTTAAAGTACCTCCTTGGCCTTGGCGATGGCTCGGGCTTCTTCCTCGGCTTCTAGCGGCTCCAGGATCCCGTCATCATCATCCAAATACCCGTAATAACCGGCGTCGACGTAGCGCATCAGATCCGCGCGGGTTTTCCGGATTTTCTGAATTAAATGGTGAATCTTTGAAGCTAAATAGATACCTCAATCTCGGTGTCCTTCTCGAACAGCTCGCGGACGCCGGGCAGGTCGCGGGCGGCGCCGTAGTACTTGTAACTTCGATCGCCGCCGACCGCCCGGCCCTCCTTGTCCAGCTCTCGACCCATTTTTCTAAAATAGGCAAATTAAGCGTATTTTTAAAGCCGCAAACTAGCAGGGATTCTTTGGGAATTAAAAATCTAACGAATTAACCTAAAAAAGCGATTTTTGAGAGGCAATCTGGCAAAGATCTTTTGGGAAGCTGTTTTCAAAGGGCAACCTAGCAGAGATCTTTTCAATTTTTCTTTTCAAGATTAAAGAACTAACGGATTAAACTAAATCACTAGTTTTGGCGGGCAATCTAGCAGGGATTCTTTAGGAACAAAAAAAACATGGGCCCATATGCCCATTTTTGTAGTGGCAACCTAGCATAGATTCTTTAGGAAAATCTCCTCAAAATCTCACCGAAAATCGGAGCCTCCTAATTCCTTGATGCGCTGCTCCCATTGGTTCTTCACCCTCACGAGCTTGTTGATCTCGTCGTTGAGGTCGCGGATCTTGAACTCACCCAACCCGGGGTTCTGGATCGTCTGGATCTTCTTCGCGACGTCTTTTGCAATCTAAAAAACGAAAAAATTTGAGCCTTTTAAAGCTTCCCCACCTCCATCCGGAAACGAATCGCGTCTTCCAGCCGCTTGCACTCGCGCGTGTCATTTGGGCGCTTCGCGATGGGGCCTAAATTTGGTTATAGCAAATTTTTCGTGTAATACTTACCTCTCTCCTCCTCCTCCTTCATTCTGCGCCACCGGGCGAGCGCCGTCATCGCCTTCTCCGCGTTACGGGCCTAGAAAAATGGGGTTTCGGTTTTAAATCATATTTCTTACCATTTTGTCGGTTCCTTGATCTGTCGGTTAGAAGCTGAAGACGATGGGTTGAGCCTTGGTAGTGACTAAAATGAGAATATAAGTATCTAAAGAAAATTGAAAATAGAAACTTTCAGAATAAAAATTACAAACTGAAAATTCGCTTTTTGAGTGCAGAAATGAAGCTTTTTAAGATTCTAAGCTTCGCCAGATAGCAATTCCGAAGCGCTAAAAATAGATTTCATATCGAAAAGTATTAGATTTAATCGAAAAACGGGGATTTTTTGAAGTATTCCTCTTTTGCCGAATCTTTTTCGAATTGGACTGGACTACACAACGCTCCAATGGCCACTCGCCCTTTGCGCCTCCGCGACAAAAGGATGATGAGAATTTGAAGAATTGCCGGCCGAAATGGATCGCGCTTTTTTGTAAAGTTCTTTATTAAAATTTAAAGTTTTAGTATGATTTTTTTGTGGATAATTAGATGCGCTACTAGCTTCTCCTTGCTTTGTCTTTTGCTTTGCCTTGCTCCTTAAACTCCTGGCGCTTGATTTGGGCCTCAAAAACTTGGCACAATTTTTCCAACGTTTTTGTTGTCGTTTTTCGATATTTCTGATCAAAATTTAGCTTCTAGCCTCCGAATTAGCTAGCAGAGACGTTCAGGAGTTTCACTCTTTAGAAAATAAGGTCCTTTCTCTATTCTAAAGTTATGGTTTTCTTGTGTTTTTATCCAGTTCTTATCAAATTCAGCATTTTGTGTTTAGTTTTCTCGTTTTCTCGGGCTCGAAAGCGTTGCTCTTCGAAAATTCAGCCTTTTCATTGTCCGGAATTTTGGTTTCTCTAGCTGTCCATCAATTTTCTCAATTTTGTGGTCATTTTCTGATTAATTTTCTCGTTTTCTTGCGCTTGCCTTCAATAGTCTTCCGATTACATCGTACCCTTTACAGAATGGCCGACCAACAAGCGAACCGTTCGGCGGCCCCAGCCCCCTCTGGAGGCCCCGCGGCCGCCGCCGCCGGTCAGCAACCCGCCGCCGAGAAGATGGAGACCGACCAGGAGGAGCAGCTCGACGAGGAGATCCTCAAGATGGCCCCCGAGGACCTGAAGAGCCGCTCGCATCTGCTGGAGAGCGAGATTCGCATCATGCGCTCTGATGTGAGTAGAATCCTCGTTTATTTTTATTTCATTTCCTTTATAGGTGCAACGCATCAGCCACTCGGTGCAGACACTGAAGGACCGCATCAAGGAGAACAACGAGCGGATCAAGGTAATTTTTAGACGGATGAATTTATGATTTTTTAGGTGAACAAAACGCTGCCGTACCTCGTGTCGAACGTCATCGAACTGCTCGAGCTCGAGGAGAATGTGGAGGAAGAGGGCGCCAACGTCGATTTGGACGCTCATAAGGTTAAAAAATCATGAATTTTTAAAATCTCGTTTTTAGACAAAATGCGCCGTCATCAAGACTTCCACTCGCGCCACCTACTTCTTGCCGGTCGTCGGCCTCGTCGACCCCAGCGAGCTGAAGCCGGGCGACCTCGTCGGTGTCAATAAGGTACGGAAAAAGGCTACATTCTTTTTCATGTCTTTTTTCAGGATTCCTACCTCGTGCTCGAGAAGCTGCCCGCCGAGTACGACTCCCGTGTCAAGGCGATGGAGGTGGACGAGCGGCCGCAGGAGCAGTACTCCGATATCGGAGGCTGTGACAAGCAAATTCAGGTATTTTCGGAGCTGATTTTGAAATAATGTTTTTTAGGAGCTGATCGAGGCCGTCGTGCTGCCAATGACGCACAAGGACCGCTTCATCAACCTCGGCATCCACCCACCAAAGGGCGTTCTGCTCTACGGGCCTCCCGGTATAAATTTGGGAGATTTCTAACGTTTTTTAAAGTTTTTAACGTGGAAATTAGGTTTTTGAAGATTTGAAGATTTGCGGAGCCTTCAAAATAGATTTTGTCCATTTTGATTATTTTAAGTAGGATTGAAGGCGTCTCTGTGCGCCCAAACTAGTTTTTTCATTTATGAGTTATTTAGAACGTGAGAAATGTAATTTTCAGTTTTAAACTTCAAATTTTTGAATTCTGGGATCTTTAAGCGTTTTTCGCGGGTTTTGCGATGCCTTATTGTAATTTGAAGTAGATGTAGTGCGAAAATCTTATTTTTTTTTGCATTGAAGAGTTTTTAGAACGTAACATAAAATATTTTGCAGTTTTCAAATAATTTCCCCTCGTTTACAGGCACCGGCAAGACGATGATGGCCCGTGCCGTCGCCGCGCAGACCAAGTCGACCTTCCTGAAGCTGGCCGGCCCGCAGCTCGTCCAGATGTTCATCGGTGACGGCGCGAAATTGGTATACTTTTGTTTTTCAAGGTTTATATTGTTTTTGTAGGTCCGTGACGCGTTCGCGCTCGCCAAGGAGAAGGCGCCGGCCATCATCTTCATCGACGAGCTCGACGCCATTGGCACGAAGCGTTTCGACTCGGAGAAGGCCGGTGACAGGGAGGTGCAGAGGACCATGTTGGAGCTGCTCAATCAACTCGACGGCTTCCAGCCCAATGATGACATCAAGGTATTGGGGGGAGCAAGGTTTTGTACCGTAATCGGATCGAAACTTCACTACGTAACCGGTTTTTTGAAATGTACTTCTTATGGCACCGTTTTCTAGCGTAATTGGTTAGATTTTTGGATTTTAAATTCATTTTCCTTTCGTAACGGTTTCTTTTATAGTTCGTGCTCGCTTTTGACGCCTTTTTCCTAGCGCAAAAGTATAGTTTTTCGATTTCAAAATTTTTTTTAGTCGCCTCTGGGATCGCTAAAATTGTTTTCTGCGTCAATTTAGAGCGTAATGGGCTCGGGTTTTTTTGAATCTAGATATGTTTATCTTTATTTCAATAGTTTTTCAGTTTTAAAAACGGTTTCCCTCGCGATTTTGTTGCGCAATCAGATCGAAAACACGTTTTTCGTTGCGTAATCGGTTCAAATTCGTTTAGCGGGGTTGGAAATTTTTCTTGGAACGAATTTTTAACCCGTTTTTTTCAGGTGATCGCGGCCACAAATCGTATCGACGTGCTCGACCCGGCCCTCCTGCGTTCCGGCCGTTTGGACAGGTATTTCCGGCATTCCCTCTAGTTAGCCCGTTTTTTTTCAGAAAAATCGAGCTCCCGCACCCGAACGAGGAAGCCCGTGCCCGAATTATGCAGATCCACTCGCGCAAGATGAATGTCCAGTGAGTGCCCCCGGATTAGTTCCCCACTCATTGCTTCTGTTTAGCAAAGACGTCAACTTCGAGGAGCTCGCCCGCTGCACCGAGGACTTCAACGGGGCCCAGTGCAAGGCCGTCTGCGTCGAATCGGTGAGCGCTTGGTGTTTTTGTGATTAGATGGCGTCATCGGTTCCGCGGGGTGTTACGTAATTAGGTGTCGTAAGCGGTTAGTTGGTTGCGGGTTGTTTTGAGTAATTTATGTCCTTTTTACGCACTATCGTGTGGGCCCGCGCTAGAATAATTAGCGTAATCGGTTCTCGGGCTTTCAAGGGCCTGGTAAGGTGCTTTTAGTGTTTTAAATGGGTAGTGGTAGCAGAAAAATTAGAAGAAAAAGCTAGCGTAATCGGTTTTCAGCGTTTTTTAGTTTTAAATCAACTGTAAGGACGTTTTTAGCGATTTTCGGGTTTTCCAGCACGAAAATTAGAAGATGAGTCGTTTGCGTAATAGGTTCTGTGTTTTTTTTTGTTTCAAGAGGTTTGCAGAACCTTTTTGGTGAATTTTATGATTAGAACGAAATTTTTTAATGTAGAAACTTTGATATGACATTTTTATCTCTTTTCTTTGCAGGGTATGATCGCGTTGCGCCGAGAGGCGCTCGAGATCCTCCACGAAGACTTCATGGACGCCATCCTCGAGGTGCAGGCCAAGAAGAAGTCGTCGCTCAACTACTACGCCTAAGCCTCGGACATCCCCACCACCAAGTATTTCTATATTTACACACATACCCTGGTGTCCCCCGTTTTGGCATTTTTCGCGTGGTGGTTTTGCAAAGATATGGGTCCCACCGCTCGTTTTCTGGGTTTTTAAAGGGATCGGGAATCTTCTTTAAGCCCCTCCCAAATTCTCTCTGCTGCTTGTCGTGATTTGTCTCCCACTCCGGCCCCTCTAAAAATACATAAAATTTTCCCAATCCCCTCTAAAAATACATAAATTTCCCTTTTATCTGGTCTCCACATAACGCGCCCCTCCCTCCCCATCCTCCCATTGGTGCGTTTATGTGTCTTTTATCCCCCACTTCCCGCCCCCTTTAAAAATGTTCGTTTTGAAAGTACCCGGAAATTGTGTGTGTGCTCTTTTGTGTGAATTACTTTCATTTTATTGCCCTCGTCGTCATCTCTCTCTCTCGGCTCGGCTCGCTCGACTCCTCTCTCTCTCTCTCGACTGCGATAAATATTTATTATACAAAATCGTGGTGTTTTTTCGATTTCCACTCGAGTACGAAACGATACAGTAAACAGATTGTGATGTTTTTAATTCATTGCGTGTTGAAAATCAGAATTTTAGAGCTTAATCGATTACGCTATGATGTTGTGTTCTCGATTTTCACGGTCTAATCGATTACGCGAGCAATTTAGCTGCTTTTTGTAGCGTAATCGATTACGACGTGTAATTTAGCAAGTTCTTCTAATCGATCCCGGATAGTATTTTTAGAGCGTAATCGAGTATATAATGCATTTTTTGGGCTTTAGACAGCGAAAAAAAGCTCATTTTTGCAAGGCACTTTACAGTTTTAAATGCGATATTTAATTTTCCAATTTAAAATCGAGTTTAATTTGTTAAACTTGGTCGCCGGCCGGCTCCCTGCCTGCCAACAGTCCTTGGCCCATATGCTGCGTTTCGATAATGGTGGCGCGGCGGGACATTTTCTTCTTGACGCAGGATTGGGCTGAAAATGGGGAGGGTTGAGGCAGGCTAGCAGGGATTTTCGAGGAATTGCAAGGCAGGCTAACAGAGAAAATTTGAGAAAGATAGGATAGGATAGCAATGTTTCTTTGCGGAATTCTATTTTTTTCTATTCGAGTTTTGAAGCTGGCTTACCAATAAATTGTATCATTTCAGCCCTCAGCAGCGGCTGGCAAGAGGCGTAAATCGGCAGCCGCAACGAGCAGGCCACGATCGGCAGTATGGAGATGGCGTCGACGGAGAGGATGTAGAAGGGCATGAAGCTGGAATCGGCGGATTACGGAGAGGTTTGTGGTTCTTCTTTTCTTTGTCTCCCTCGCTCTCTCGTTCCATCTCTCTCTCTCTCACTCTTTCGCTTACGTAGGTGTCCACAGTGATGCCGGGTCGAACATCTCCCATACCGTAATCACCATGCTCAGCAGGTTGCTCATCAGATGCGTCAGTACGATGATTGACAGCGTACGCGTCGCGGCGCGAATTCGAGCCTAAAATTCCGCAAATTTCCTTTGCTAGCATACCCCAAATTTTTTGGTTTTTCAAGGAATTCTGCTGGCCTGCCCGTGGCTTAAAATTCCTCAAAGAATATCTGCTAGCCTGCCCCTCGAATGCCTCAAAGAATCTCTGCTAGCCTGCCCCTCCAATTCCGCAAAGAATTTCTGCTAGTCTGCCCGGAATATTGGCCAGGGCAGCCGAGCAGAGATCATTGAAGAATGGGGCTCAATTTGCATCCCTTCTTTTGTCGAACATTCTGCTTATCCCCCATCACAGCTCCGTTCGCTCCGGTGGCGACTGCCTGAAAATCGTATTTTTTTTGAATGGAATTAACGTTTATTTAATATTTCTAGACGTCTGCCGACCTGCCTGAGCCGCACCTCCACCCCGCAGAGCAGCAGATTGAGCATGAAGAGCACGAGGAACGGAAAGACGATGGTGAAGATGTTCCGGAACCAGAGGCGCCAGTACTGGAAGGTGATTTTTGAGAACTTTCGCGTTTTGGCGGGACAGTTTTTTAAATTGCTAGGCTTTTTAAAGGGATGCCGACATCTAGGAATTGGCCAAAAAATTGTTTTTTAATATTTATGAGATTTACGCGATTTTAAAGGGATAGCAGCGCCATGTAGAAAATATGCGTAAAACTCCGAAATAGTTATTTTATTTTATGGGTACTGTAATTTCTACCTCATACAAATGGGCATGGACAATTTTGCCCGGCATCAGCCCGAACTCGTTGAAATGGCCGAAGCACGTCTCGTTGTAGGTGATCTGGAAAGTGGGGGTAAACCTAAGCCTAAGCTCAAGCCTAAGCTTAAGCTAAGCTAAGCCTACGCCCAAGCCTACCTGAATCTCGAGAGGTATCGTACTCTTCGGAAAAACGCCGCACATCACGGCTACCGTAGCCAGTAGACAGCGATTTCTTTGTAATAGTTGAACGGCTCGTGTGTTGAGCGTTATGCAGAATCTGCAACAGGGGCAGGCTAGCAGAGAACTTTGAGGAAAGGTGAAATTCTAGCATTTTCACAGCGTAGTCGATTTTATAGGTTAACGTAATTGATTTTCAATCGGTAAATTTTGGAATTTAAATGGGCAGGCTAGCAGAGACCTTGAGGGAAATGGGCAAGCTAGCAGGTATCTTTGCGAAAATCTGAATTAGGTTAGTTTCATGGCGTAATCGGTTCTTTTAAGACTTCTTGGGCGCCAGAGGGACATCGTAGGTCTCTGCTAGCCTACCAGACGATCTACAATTTTCTCAAGGATCTCTGCTAGCCTACCCGGTGGATACTGTAATTTTGGGTAAGATTTTTCTGTTTTTATCAATATACTTTTCATTTTTCTAGCTTCTACGCACCAAAGAAGAGACCGTCAGATGACCTCGTCCTCCCCTCCCTCCTCAAGGCTCTCTGCTAGCCTGCCCCCGACTCTGGGCCCTTCAGAAGTGCCGCTGATGGGCTTGAGGCAAATAGTGTGAGTTTGCTTGCGGGAATCATGGTTTCGGGGGTATATTTGCCAGCGCCTTTAAAATGGTGGATTTTTCAAATTGGGGTTTTTCGGTACGTTTTTCCGTAGGTTACGGGATATTACACTTTCTGATGCCTTTAAAATTGAGAAAACCTGGGATATCTAGTTTTTCGTAAATTTCCATACCGTTCCACTGCCGCAAAAACGATCAAATAGACGCTAGCGGTTTGGGCGATATGCGAGATTGTCAGCATCGGGATCATGTAGCTCATCCTAGAAAATGGACATCCTTTTAGCATATTCAAGTTTTCACTATTTTTCGCGGCTTTGTAAATGCTGAAATTTTGAAGAATTCCGCGTCAATTTTTGAGTATTTTCACTGCCATTTTCCCCGGGCTTACCACATTTTCCGGAGCGCGTAGCTGCCCGTCCAATTCGTCAGCACCCTCACCGCCATTAGTGCACAGTAGGAGATCGAGAGAAAAACGTCGAAAAAGGCGAGCAGCAGCATGTAGAGGTTATAGGAGTTTCTGCAATTTTTAGTAGTTGGAGGGGTTTAAAGGGGGTGACTATCTCTCTCTCTCTCTCTCTCTCTCTTTCTCTCTCTCTCTCGCTCTCTTTCTCTTATTTTTACAATCTTATTTTTACATGCAGGATTCAGCGCCATTTTTTTATTGTTTTTAAAGAGAGCGTGACGCCAAATTCTAACAATTTTCCAGTCGTTTTAAAGGCACTGGGACAGTAAGAGTTCTGCCAATTCCTTACCGATGCTGTCGATTCGTGACGAATAAGAAGAACAGAAACGTATTTGTCACTATCGATACGGTAGCCACCGACCCGCCGGCGATTACCGCCATGTAGAAACGCTCGTAGAGAAAGTCTCTAAAATGACGAATTTTAAAGGCACATTGAAGTCTAGGGTCTTATGGGTTTTTCTAGATTGACCATTTTCCTTCAAAGACCAATCAAGCATGCTTTTTTTGCTTTGAAAGGACCATTGAAGGCAGGATCGGGCGCTTTCAAGGGCTACGGAAGTCTGTTCCTATGGATTTTCCCATATTTTTAGGGTTTTAAATAGTAATTGAAGTAGCTTTGAATTTGATTAGGAGATTGATTAAATTAGATTTTTTTGATTTTAGAATTTGGGGTTTTTAAAGGGCCATTGAAGTCTTAAGATCATATGGATTTTCCTAGATTTTTGGCATGTTTTAAAGGGGCAGAGAAGTCAAGTCTCCGGGCTTTAGGGCCGTTTTGAAGCCTGGGGAAAATGGGGATTTTTGTAGATTTGTATTTTAAGCCTTTTTAAACGCTTTCAAGGGCCAGACAAGCCAAAATTTACCATTTTAAAGGACTAGTGAAGTCAACTTTCGTTTTACTTACTCGTCAACAGCATCGCAAGATGCTGGAACGTCTGATTGACTTGTATGAAGTGCTTCTGTGCCATTATGGACTCCCGGTTCGAACAGATACACTCCTTCCTCCATTTCTGGGTTACTGTACCGGGTTTTGTAGTTTGTAGTTTAATACGATGGGCTGTAGTTTGTCTAAAAACGTCAAAATCGATTATGACATTTAAATACGAGTAGGTAACTAGCAGAGATGATTGAAGAAAGACAGGGCCATTTAGCAGAGATCCTTTTAGGACTTGGAGGGGCAGGCGAGCAGCGATTCTTTGAGGAAATTTGGGAAGGCTAGCAGAGATTATTTTAGGACTTGGAGGGGCAGGCTAGCAGAGATTCTCTAAGAAAAGCCGAGTCATCGGTTTTCTGGGATTTCGAGATGATTTCTGGATGCCTCGTGGTGTGCCTAGTTGTTATCGGGCTGCCACTAATTCAGAAGAGAAGCCGAATCAAAATGGCCCGTCCTGTGAAAAGCCTCTAGAATGTGGAGGTTTGTTGCGGAAGACGTGGGGGGCTACTAAAAGGAGGAGGTGCCAAATTGAGGTCGCCGGCGTCCTCTTGGCTTTCCGGAGGAGCTTGACACCAAATTAACGAGACCGAGACGTGAATTTGCCCTGGGGGCACGCTTACTTCTGGAGCGTCTCGGAAAACGGGGAATCGAATTTTGGGAGGCTAGCAGAGACCATTTATGGAATTCGAGATAAAGTTAAACCAGCCGTGATCTTTTAGGCGACGGTAATGACTAGGACAGCCTAGCAGAGATCATTTGCGAGAGCCTAGGGTTTTGTGGTAATGGTAAGCTAGCAGAGGTTCTTTATGAATGGCAGTGAGCAGATACCGTAATGGAAGAAGCTCTAGCCTTTGCTATCCCCGTGTTTTAGGAATTTTTTGCCGAATTTCCGGGGCTCAGCTGAGCGTTTAGAATTCGATTAACGCCCGGACAATAGTAGCCTGCGCGATACGGTAGCTGGGAGTTAATTTGATAAGTTCTATTTATCGGGTTTGCCGGTTCTTTAGGATTTCCGGGGGGGGGGGGGGAAAGTATTTCCGGGGGGGGAAACCAAATTTTTTCGGCCCAAGCTTAAATTTTTTTTCTAAATAGCGCATGCGTTTCTAATCGGTTTTTAACTATTCCTGGGCATAAAAACTACCCACATTTTAATTAAAAATTTAATTTTAGGTCGAAAAATCCTATAGAACCTTTAGGATTACCGGGGGGGGGGAAAGACCCAAAATGACCAATTTTCGACTTTTTCAAACATTTTTCTAACTTTTTTAAAAGGTTTTTCTACTTTAAATATTGTTAAAATTTACTAAAAACAATGTGAAAACACTTTATATTTGATTACTAGGTCAACCGGGAAAACCAGGAAAAATTTGGTTTCCCCCCCCCCCGGAAATACTTTCCCCCCCCCGGAAATCCTAAAGAACCGGTTTGCCCCGCCCGTACACAGCGGAAGACTGCAAAAAATGGAGAACTAGAATTTTCGGGACTAGAGGCAGGCTAGCAGAGATTTTTTGAGGAATTGGAGAGGCAGGCTAGCAAAGATTCTTTGCGGAATTGGAGGGGCAGGCTAGCAGAGATTCTTTGAGGAATTGGAGGGGCAGGCTAGCAGAGATTCATTGAGGAATTGGAGGGGCAGGCTAGCAGAGCTTCTTTGAGAATTTGGAGGGCACACTAGCAGAGATTCTTTAAGGACTTGGATGGGCAGGCTAGCAGAGAATTTTTGAAGAATTGGAGGGCAGATTAGCGGAGATCTTTTGAGAAATTGGAGGGGCAGGCTAGCAGGGCTTTTTTGAAAATTTGCAAGCTGCTGCTCCGGAACTAAAGCCTCAGCATAAGGAAGCATCCGCTTTCAGCGGCTTCTTCCTAGTAAGTTCAGAGGAATTAGGCCACCTGACAGAGACAAAAAAAAGCCGGAGACCACTCGAAAACAACGTGTGCGCCGTCTGCCAAAGACACTGCTAAGTAACCCATTGATTCTGCAGCCGTAGGGGTGGCTTTTGAAGTTTTGTAGCGCGGGGCAAGCTAGCAGGGATTTTGCAGGAAATTGGCGGGACCTAGGCGGGCTAGCAGAGGTCTTTTGGGAAGGGTCATAAAGCCGAAGCTTAGGTGAGCTAGCAGAGATTTTTGAGGACCGACTGATAGTTCTTTGGACGCCATAAATTATCTGGGCCGGCTAGCAGGGATTCTTTGCGGAATCCGAGAATGAAGCGGCCGGGCTAGCTAGCAGAATTCCTTGAGGAAAGCTTCCGATTTTGGAAGGTTTCGAGCCTGACTGAAGTCGGGATAGGCAGGCAGAGATTCTTCGAGAGCAGGCTAGCAGAGATTCTTTGAGGAAAACTCAAACATTTGCAACTCGGAGGATCAAATTTTGAGGCCCAGAGCACGGCCGGATGTGTCTGTCTGCTAGCTGATGGTGGATGGAAGAGTCAGAGCATCGAGTCACTCTTTCTCTCTCTCTCTCTCTCTCCCCTCCCTCCCCCTCTTCTAAAGGGATTGGATGTGTATTAATTGACTATTCAGAGGGGGAGGAAGAGCCTCCAGTCACTCAGCGCCGCCCTTCTTTTCGCTCTTTTGTGAATACCCACCCCAACCACCATCATCACGAATTGCCTAGAGAGTACATGCTCCGCTTCTGGTGAATCGGATGGACATGGGGGTATCGACATTCTGGACCTTGGCGGGAATTCTGAGGCGATAAAACAAAAAAAATCGAGGGCAAGCGAGTAGAGATTCTTGAGGAATTCTTCATTTTGGTCGGGTTAGGCAGACCATCAATTTTAGATTTTGCATCTTTGAGCGAATTTAAGTTAAAGAATCAGTAAAACACGAAAACCAGAGGGTAGGTTAGCAGGGATTTTTGAGGAATTATTAATTTTGGTTGGGTTAGGCTGGACGAAAAATTTTAGAAAGTTTTTGGGTGAAGGCATCGATACCCCTGCGAAATATATGGTAGGCTAGCAGAGATACTTGAGGAATTCATAATTTTGGTCGGGTTAGGCTAAGCGAAAATTTTTAGATTTTGTCCTTTTAAGGGACATTTGCATTAAGGAATCGATAAAACACGAAAACCAGGGGGTAGGCTAGCAGAGGTTCTTTAGGAAGTCAGAAATTCGACATCCTGGAGGCTAGCAGAGATCATTGGGGACAGCGGGAAGTACAGGGCAAGCTAGCAGAGATCCTTTGGGAAGCCTTGGCGTTCAGGCAAGCTGGCAGTGGCCCTTTTAAAAACGCCAGCAAGGCAAAGAGGAAGGCCTACTAGCAAAGGTTCATGTGGGAGGCTAGCACAGTTTTTTGCGGAATTCGAGACTAAAGGCAAGCTAGCAGAGATCCTTTGCCCTCCAAAGACCACCACACTTCCAAAGGACACTCGCGGACGATTCCAGGAATTTTTTTAACCGCGCGAAAAGTCAGGATTTCCGTTTTTGAGAAACACTAACCGAATTTCCGGGATTTCCAGTAGGTGGGGGAGGGAGATCGCGAAATTCGAGTGGTCTCCTCGGCGGTGAACCCCTTTTTCGGGTCGTGAAACGACCGCTTCGGCCGGCCCGAAGATGGCCCCGTATCCGGATGGGGGCATTTCGGATATTAAAGGAGGACTGGGGAAGAAATCAGAAGCCACGAATTCACGTTAAAGGGGTGGTGAACTGACGGCTTTCGCTGGGAATTTACAATTTTCCCCAATGACCTTTGCCCGCTAGCCCTAATTTTGTGGAAAATTGCTTAAGGGGCATCGGAAAGGTTGCGCAAAGAATCTCTGCTGACCTGCCATACGATAAAACGGAAACTACAAACTCTAATTCTTGAAAAGTGCTTCTTCTAGCTTCTTTAGCTGAGTGCTTCCCCTCCTTCTCAAAGACGGTCAGATAAAAAACCAATTTAAGGAAAAAGGGGCCGGGGGCTTCAGAGAGAGAGAGAGAGAGAGTGAGGGAGGGTGAGCGAGAGAGCGAGAGAGTGAGAGAGAGAGACCCGCTGCGTAAAAACGGGAAGTGATTTCTAGAGGAGATACCGTTCCATAGACGAAGTAATCCGCAAGTTGGAACCCTAGGAAACCTCAGAAATTTTCGAGGGTAAATTTGTTCCGCCCGGCTCCTCATGTCGACATGTGTTACGAATGAGCAATTTATGGGGATTTTTGAGGGGCTAAAGGGTTGAGGAGTTTTGACATTTTGCGAGAGAGAGAGAGAGAGAGAGAGAGAGAGAGAGAGAGAGAGAGCTGCAAATTTGTTTCCCTAGCGATCGCTGCTAGCCTGCCATCAAATTCGTGAATTTTCAAGCAAGTCTAATACTTCGGAAAAATTCCCCAATTCCACAAATAACCTCTGCTAGCCTCTCCTAAAAATCCTCATTTTTAAGGGGGTGGGACTTGAGAAAAATTCCCCAATGTCATAAATAACCCGCTGCTAGCCTGCCTTAAAATTGACTAACTTTTAGGGTCCATAAGTCAAGAGAAATTCCCCAAATCTCTCTGCTAGCCTGCCCCCGGAAGTACACCCTAGAAAGTGGCTTATCCCCCTCCTGGCCATTCTTCAAAAACCCACTAAGCCCCGGGAATCATTGTCAAAGCGCCGAAAACACGGCCCCCACCCCCTCCTGCCGACGGCCAGTGTCATCAATTTTCTGGTTCCAGTTTTGGGCTTCTTCTTTCCTGGGCGGGCCAACTAGATCCCCCAGGGGTCCCCCCTTCTGTTCTCGAGTCAAACAACCCTCGGCTGCACCGAGACCGAAAAAAGACCGTCGCGTCACTTTGGCTTGCCGGGGCCTTTAAACGGCTCTATAAATTTCGCAAAAGCATAAGCTAGCCGAGATTCTGGAGGAAAATTACTAGGGTGCTAGCAGAGATCCTTGGGGAATTCGATCGGGTCAGGCTACCAGAGTTTTTTGTGGAAACGCAGGCCCAGGCCAGCTAGCAGAGATCCTTGGGCAATTCGATTGGGGCAGGCGAGCAGAGATTTTTGTTGAATTGGGGTGATAAGCGAGCCGGGATCTTTGGGAAACTTGATTTCAAGGCAAGCTAGCAGAGGATCTAGTGGAATTTATGGCAGAAGACAAGCCGAGATTTTTAAGGAACGTGGTTCTA